CCCTGCAGCTTCGGCTGGGTCCCGGGCGCTGCGTTTATCGCGCGAGAAGGGCGGCGTTAAGGTATGTCAGGAATGAGACCCGTTTCGTTACCTTCTCCGGTGTTTATTTTCGGGAAGCGCCGGAGCTCACCGAGCAGGTCCGGCGTCCCAGAGCGAGCCTCGGGGCCGGAACGTGGACGGGCTGAACGGTGCGTTAGTCACCGCGGTCACCCGGGTTGCGGCTCAGCGGTGCGTAAACTCTTCCCCAGCACCGAGTCTTACAGGCTTTTCTCATTAGACTCGGTGTGTTGATAAGTATTTTTAAACCTCTTTTTTTGTTAGAGAGACCAGGCCAGCATTTGCAAGGGGGACACCACTCTGCAAACGTTTGATACTTAAACAGGTTTTGTGGCCTCGTGCCCCGTCCCCTCTTTGACTGCGAGCTCCTTTGCTGATCCTGGCAGTCTCGACTCATTTTACCAGAGATTCTCATCCTGCTGCGTGCTCACGAGGAAGCCGCCGGCGATTTTCACGTCGAGGGAGTGCCCGTACCGTGATCCAGCACTCGCTGCTGCAGCACTGCCAGAGCTGTTGTCCTAACTCGCTGCTATGAAATATCCACCCTCGTGCTTTCATTCCCTTTCCTGCTTCACCTCTTTCTCTGGAACAGCAGCTCTGCCAAGCAAGCCCTCTTCCTCCTGCCTCTATCCCCACCACGGTCTGGCTCCTCGAATCTACCGGGAGCTCGTCTCCTCCCGCTCGATGCCCACACAGAACGTGGAGGTAAAGCGCGAGACAAATAAACGACAGACTTAGCAGAGAAGGGAACAGAGCAGCAAAATATTTGCGGGTGTTTTCAGCACGACTCTCAAACCTTGGAGAGTTTACGTGTGGTTTTGGGTGAGGAAAAAATTGCTCCTGCCCTTTATTCATCCTGAGCTGACAAGCCGCCGTACGAGTGTTTGTGGGAGGGGATTTTTTTTTGTTGTTTTCTTTCTGTGGGCTGTCATAGTTGACACGGACGCGGCGCCGGGCGCTGACCGCGTGCTCCATGTTTGCGTGTGGGCAGGCACGCACCCTGAGCAGCTGGGCGGTCAAACTGGGTTGAAAAACATCTTGTAACAGCACTTGTGACAAATAGGAAAAAAAAAATCCTGCTTGCTTATGCGTCTTGTGTAGTGCCCGATTCCTCTCTTTTTGTTTTTCTTCTCACGTGTCAGAAATTTTGCTTTTTAAACTCCCAACGAGTTGTACTGACTGGGTGCAAGAGCTCTGAGCCAAGAGGGAGAGGCAAGGCACTGCTGGCAACACTGAAAACCCCAAAAAACAAACCCAAACGCATGAAAGGGTGGTAAACCTTTTGTAGAGAAGTGCGAGAGGAGAGGAGAAGGGCGTGTGGGTGACCTGGAGAGCAGAGGAACTGCTGTGCCAGCTCGCTTGTCTTGGCAAAACGAAGTTCAAATAGGAAAATCTTGCTTAAATAAGGGGGAAAAGGGCAGTTCTGGACAAGCTCAGTGGGGCGTAGGCTGGTGTGAGTCAGGTGAGCCTGGAAATTTGGAGAAAAAGAGCTCAGAAGTAATCAAAGACTTGGGTAATTCTGAAGAGGGTAAAATATTATGTAGCCACCTGCAGGAGCAAGAAGTGGAGTCGGAGATGCAAGAAGCCCCTTCCAAGCCTCGCTCTGTATGGATCAGGAAGGCTCCTCGGAGAAAATAAGTGGGAGGAGGTATAGCAGAGCTGGGGAAAGGGAACCTGCGGAGATTTAAAGATGCCTCTCGGCTGTAGTGAAGCGGCTGTGAGCGTAACCTGAAGGTACGCGATGGGTGCCCGAGAAGAAAAGCACGCGGGGTTGAACCTGTAAGCCGGTTATTGGCCCAGAGACAGAGCTAAGGAAGAGGAAAAGCGCAGCCACGTCGCCCAGATTTGGGTTCTGCAGAATAATTGCAGTGCAGGGCTCAGGTTGAGGCTTCGTGGCTGTGCCCCGGGGTCAGGTGGATGAAGCTGGATCGGCGATGTTGGCTCTTCGGGGCAGCGTGTTCTCTGAAGCGGCGCCGTGGGCGAGTATTCTGTGCCCAGGGAAGCGGATCTGGGCATGAAATCCAGGTGTGCGGTGAATTACGGAGTTGATTTGTCTAAACACGTGGTTCTGTGGACTTGGCCGTCCTCTGTTAGCAAATCTGGAGATGCCTCACTCTTTATCTTTGCCCAGTGGACCCCTTGTGGCAGCTTATGAAGCTGGAAAACTGGTTCCAAAGTTGAAATTTGAGAGACAGGCTCCTGTCCTGTTTGCAAATGGGACTTGTCTGACTTCCAGCCCTCGATTGCTGCCGGCCTGGTGGAGCTGTGCTCCGGGGAATCATCTGGACTATGCGATTGGTGGCAGATGGCGCTGATCTTCCTTCCTTCCCTTTCTCTTTTTTCAGGTAGGGGACCATAAATTCAGCGCTCACCGCATCGTGCTGGCAGCTTCCATCCCCTATTTCCACGCCATGTTCACCAACGACATGATGGAGTGCAAGCAGGATGAGATCGTCATGCAGGGGATGGACCCCAGGTAACGTCCGACACGCCAAGGGACCTCGGCGTTGGGTTTTCTTTTAATAGTGTCCCCTGCTAGATTAATTGTTAATAAATTATACCCTTTCTTCCTCTTTTTTTTTTATTTTTAGTGCTCTTGAGGCTCTGATCAACTTTGCCTACAATGGTCACCTGGCCATAGATCAGCAGAATGTCCAGTCTCTGCTGATGGGGGCAAGTTTCCTGCAGCTGCAGAACATCAAAGACGCTTGCTGCACGTTCCTCAGGGAGAGGTGAGGGCTCGTCTCTTGGCTCTGTTTCCTCCTCCCCACCAGCAGCGAGTGTTAGAATCACAGAATCAGTGAGGGTGGAAAAGACCTCTAAGATCATCAAGTCCAACCGTCAACCCAACCCCACCGTGACCACTAAACCACGGCCCCAAGTGCCGCATCTACTCGTTTTTCGGACACCACCAGGGAGGGAGACTCCACAATGCCCTGGGCAGGCTGTGCCAGTGCTTCACTGCTCTTTCAGTAAAGAAATGGTTCCTAATATTCAATCTAAACCTCCCCTGGTGCAACTTGAGGCTGTTTCCTCTTGTCCTGTCATTAGGAAAGAGGGAGAAGAGGCCAACTCCCACCTCACTACACCCTCCTGTCAGGGAGTTGTAGGAGCAGTGGGGTCTCCCCTCAGCTTTGTGCTCTCACCAGGGCAGAGCAGAGAGGGAGGAGAACATCCCTAGACCTGCTGGACACCCTTTTCTTAGTGCACCCCGTACCCAGAGCAGAATGAAGTGAACATTTCCCTTTTCTAGCGTTATTTAATCCCAGTAGTGCGTGGCTGCCTCCGCTGCTAACGAGCCCGTCCTCGCAGCAATGACCCTTTCTGCCGCTCCGGGTGCGCGAGAGGGGAGGAACAAAGGGCCTCAGCTGAGGAGCTGGACAGGAAGCTGGGGCAGAGCCTTAAATTGGTCCCAGGTTTATTCAATTCCCTTGCTGGTGTTCGGCTGCGAGGTTGTTCCAGCAGCGTGATCTGGAAACGGAAAAGCTGGGCTGTTCTGCGGAAACGGAGCGCGCGCGCGCGCCTGCCGAGCGTGCCAGGGAGCCTCACGGGTGTAATTCCCCCTCTCTTCCCCACCTTCATTCCTCTGCAGCGTTTCAGCCTGTTCCGTGCTGTGATACTCAACATACCCAGCAAATAAACGGAACGTCAGCCGGTTATTTTATTTAATTTCTAAACAGAGATGTCCTAAAATCATGGCTTGGGGAGAAAAATTGAGTTTCCTCCATGTTTCAGATGTCTCCATTTTCAGTCCCGTATGTGTCCTGACTTCCTGCAGTTTGTTTGAAATTGTGTGAGATTACAGACTATTCGTTTTTCTTGCAAAAAGAAAAAAAAAACAAACCACATTTTATTGGAGGTACTGGGTTGGAAAGAGGTGGGTTGCATTGATTTTTGAGGCCCTGCTGGCTTGAGGAGGTTGTATCTCTATCCAGATTAAGCGAAGTAGTTTGATTTCTCCGATTTTCCTGCTGTTCTCCCAAATCTACCAGCAGCAACTGGATGCTCTAATTTAAGTCCCGTCACTTTTGATTGATAAGAAGGAAATGGGTGGCCTCACACCATCCTGAAGAGCTGGAACATGCACACCGAGCTCTCATTCTTAAATGGAATTAATGGCAAGAAGGACACGGAGGGGCTGGAGCTGGTCCAGAGAAGGGCAACAAAGCTGGGGAAGGGTCTGGAGAGCAGGTGTGGTGAGAAGCCCGATAAAGTCCCCTTAACTGCGGGAAATAGGGCCACAAAGTTGTAACAGCCGCTGTTCTGCAGTGCTTGGAAAAGGTACAAGGTGAAAAATGGAGACTGATGGCTGGTATCTGCTTGAATCTGCCTTTGTCTCGTATTTAAATTTAAAAATACGGTGCTGGATGCACCCCAGGATGCGGGAGGGGCTGGAGGAGTTGCCGTGCAGAGCCTCGTGCCTGCCCTCAGCTGACAACCCGCAGAGCCAGTGGCTCCTCGCCGAGTCTTGGGAGAGACTTTTAAAGTTGTGGTTTCCAACCTCTGGCTCTGCTGTGGTTCCACCTTCAGCTCTCTCTGTAGATATGTTCATCGGTGAGCTGGAACCTGTCATCGTCAGAGAGGACACGGCATCTCCTGAGGCTTGCGTTGCGTCACCGAACCTGTCTGTAATCCTTTCTATCCTTCTTCCGTTAAACTGACGTTGCTCTTGCTCTCCCCTTCCTCCCCTTTCCCAGGCTTCACCCCAAGAACTGCCTGGGGGTGCGGCAGTTTGCGGAGACGATGATGTGCGCGGTGCTCTACGACGCCGCCAACAGCTTCATTCATCAGCACTTCGTGGAGGTGTCCATGTCCGAAGAGTTCCTGGCGCTGCCTTTCGAAGACGTCCTGGAGCTCGTTTCGAGGGATGAGCTCAACGTGAAGTCTGAAGAGCAGGTGTGTGCCTGGTTGTAGATCTCTGTCGGTTCGTTCTTTGGAGGGTTTTTTAGGTTGCTTAAGGTTAGCAGAATGGGACATGACCCCGTTCCTGGTCGGAATGAAGCTGGGAAGATGTCCTGGCGCGGCGGGGACACGAAGAGATCCTGTGAAGACTCCCTGAGCCCCACTTCTCGTCCGTGCTGCCGATGTTCCCTTCCTCTGAGAAGCACCTAGTAGAGTTTCTCAGGCCATAGATCTCACAAAGCGTTGGTTTAAGGTGTTTTGCTTCATCACTGATGGAGCTGAAACCTGTTGAGTCCTGAGAACCTCCAGCTGTGCCCCTCCCTGTCAATAATTCCTGGTCCTGGAGACGAGAGGATGAGGATGTGGGCAGTAGCAGGGAGACCTTCCCCACCGAGGTTATGTTCAAGTCCAGGGGAGCGCTTCTGAGATGAAAAGAATTTGCTGTGGTGTTTTAGAACGAGTGTTCCAGTGGATTTGCCATCAAGAGGCTCCTCTAGACTCTCTTGTTCCTAGGAAAAAAAAAAACACAAAAAAAATCCAAACCAGAGAGCAGGGCTGAGCAACCTTAGGATGTTTCAACAGCCTTGAGAATCTGTCGGTGCTGGGCTCACAATCTGTGGGAGAAGCAGAGCCTGTCCTCAAGCCCAGGAAAAGTCTGTCCTGCTCTTTCTGAGGAGGTGACAATCGAAGAGCAGACCTTCCGTGCAGGGTAAGAGAGTGCTTTGTTCGCTGGGCTGTCCGAAATTCCCCTGAAATGGGGAGGGAGAGGAACCTGCTTCCCTTGCCAGCCACGTCGCTGTATCCTACCACAAACCTGTCTTTTGCTGGTTTTACCGAGTGGATCCTTTGTGGGGCAGGTAGGAGCCCGAAGGATCTGTCCCTGGTGACATTTCCGTGTGCCTTCTCTTCAGAAAGGGCAACATTTTACAGAAATGGCAATATTTTACAGAAATGGCAATATTTTACAGAAATGGCAATATTTTACAGAAGTGGCAATATTTTAGTGCACCTCAGCTTACCTGCGGACCATAAAGCACCTCGTAGAGTGGAAGTACGTTGGGTTGGTTGGTTGGTTGGGTTTTTTTAAGTTCACCACCGAGCTGTTGAAGAAGGAACAGTGAAATGAGAGACTCCAGCTCTCCACCGTTAAAGAAGCACTTCATAATTTTGTCCTGGACAGTGGCACTGCTGGATTTTTTTCTCCACCACCACAGGCAGAGCTCGGTGGGAGCTCTTCTCTGCGTGACAGCGACATGAATGGGTCGATCCCTCACATCCAGACTGGCTTCTGGTTTTCCTAGAGCAGCACCGTTCTCCTCGTCCCCTCTTTGATGATTTTTGACACCCCATAACCAAGGTTTTGTACTTTCTGACCCACCTGCTCAACCAAAAATCTCTTCCCAGCTGTCAAGGCTCAGGATTGGGGCACTAAACAAATGGTGGATGCTCTTTACTCGCTCCTCTCCCTCCCCAAACGGGAAGGGGAAAGGAATAAGGCAGAGAGACTTATGGATTGGGAAAGAAAACAAAAAGGACTTTAATGAAATAATAATAAGGAAATGATGAAAATAATGAAGTCCGTACAAAACTGATGTTGAACCCGACTCCCTCCGCAATAGCGATCCCCACGGATGCTCAGAGCTGGTGACACCGGGGCAGCCCCAGGCTCAGAACTTGGCACAGGAGCTGGATTTGGGAACTGCTCGGAAGAAGAAACCTTAACGCTCGTGATCCCTCAGCTTTACGCTGAGTATAATGTACATGGAAAACACTTGTTGGTCAGATTTGAGTCACCTTCCCTGTCCGTTCCGCCCTGCAGGTGTGATCTTCTTAGTTGCTTACAAACCTTTTAATTCCTGGTACCCCAACGTGTTACACAAGATTTATGAGTGACCTGAGTCACTGCGGGAGCCTTTCTGCGCCCCAATCCCGACAGTAACCACGAACAGCAGGTGTTATCACTTCCAGTAGCAGAGGCTGGCTGTAAAAACATGCCGTCGGGTTCAAAAAGCGCTGTCTCAAAGAGGCCGAGCTGAAAAAACAAAAGCACTGGAGAGAATTGGGTCTGGTTTAGCTCGAAGCAGGACACCGGCTCCCTCGTCTCCCTGCGGACGTTCGTACACGCTGTCCCATGGGACTAAAGGTCGGTATCGTTGTAGATTTAAGGTGGAGGCAGAGAAAGCAAAGCCAAAGCTGAGCACACCCGAGCGTCACGCGACAGGAGAGACCTCTGGCGCGGTGAAGGCCATCACCGTTCTGTCCCCAAACCGTGTCATCAGATCATTGTCCAAATGTGGTTCCTTCCCCCTGGGACAACTGACAGCAGTAGGAAATTGGGGGGAAAGAAATAAAATAGAATGAGAATGCCTCTCCTCCGGCAGGTATTCGAAGCTGCGTTAGCTTGGATCCGGTACGACCGAGATCAGAGAGAGACGTTCCTGCCCGAGCTCCTGTCCAAAATCCGCCTGCCCCTTTGCCGACCTCAGTTTCTCACCGACCGCGTGCCTTGGTCCGCGCCTGCCACAAGTGCAGGTGAGGCTTGGCCACGGGCTTGGAGAACCAGCCCGGGGGCTGACGGCCCTCGGTGGGGTGTGGAGGTGGGAGGAATGTGGTCTGGCAGCCTCGGAGAACGAAATTCTGTTTTCCTGTGGACGGAGCAGCTCTCAACGTAGCAAAACCCGAAGCAAGCATTTTCCCTCGTTTTAACCTGGCAGCAGGGCCACGTTGCCTTCTGGAAGGGCTGGCCGCGGCGGGAGCAACTCAGTCACAGGATCAGAATCGCAGAATTTCATCGGGCCGGCCGAGCTCTTTAATTATTTGGCTTCGATTTCAGGGATCTAGTCGACGAGGCAAAAGATTATCACCTCATGCCGGAGCGCCGACCACACCTCCCGGCATTCAAGACCCGTCCCCGGTGCTGTACGTCGATCGCCGGCTTGATTTATGCCGTCGGGGGACTGAACTCAGCAGGTACCTTGCACATCTGCTCGGGGCACAGAGCAGCCTGGTTTGCCGGGGAGGAGGATCGTGAACTTCCCTCGTGCAAGTGTTGAGCAGTTTCTCCTCCTCTGCGCAGTGCTTTGACCCCTCCCCTGAGATGTTCAGGTTGTTTTGCTGTAGTTTAACATCATCTGGGTAGGAATTCTGTCTAGGTCGGGTTTATTCAGAACAATAATTCTTGCATGTCTTCAAAGAATCAGCATTTTGAGGACGGTGTCCTTGCCTGCGGCAACAAGTGGAACTCGGCGTTGGGATGTTGGCGGGGTTGTGGGATCACACGTGCAGACACGTGAGCCTAGACTGAGTGTTTAAAAGAAAAAATTTAAAAAAAAGGACAGAAAGTGCTTGTGAAATGATCTGCTGGAGCCTCAACCAGCCTGGTTAACGTGGGATGTGAGCTGCGCGCTGCCTCAGCGGCTTCAGGGCTGATTTCTGCTGCAGAGGTGGGGACAGATGTGCCGTTGCAGGGCTCTGCTGCCCCTTTGAGGTTAGAAAAGGTGCCGCTTCCCCAGCCTCGGGTCCGTGGGTGAGCTTTGAAGTGCTCTGCGATCCTTTTGCATCGTGGAGCATGATTTGGGCCGATTTTTCTTTCTGCGGGCGAGCAGAGCCGTGGCTGGGGAACGCCTCCGCTTTGACGTCGCTGTGGGAGCAGGGAGGTTGGGGTAGGACACTCGGGAGCCCAAAACAAGACGTGTGAGAGCCCAGAGGTTTTCCCAGAGAAGACGGGTCGCGGCGGCGGCGGCGTCCACGATCCCTCTCGCGCCTCCGCTGCGGGCGGGCTGGCTGGAGCGGCGTGTTACGGGGCTCTCCCTCTTTTAATTTGAGTAGCAAATTTTTACGCAGGTGACTCGCTGAACGTGGTGGAAGTCTTTGATCCCATTGCCAACCGCTGGGAGAAGTGCCAGCCGATGACGACGGCCCGGAG